TGAAGAATGAAGAAAAGGAAAATAAATTCACTCTCTGTTTCTTCTCCTCAGAGGAGACTGAATTAAATCTGCATGTACAAGAGTGTCTGTGTGACATGTAAAACGTCACGTCTAAGAAAACCACTCAGGATCCTCTAGTGTTTCCTGTTCTACACCTCTTCTAAAGGAAGACAAGATTGTGTTTTCTCTATAAGGAATTTACCTACATTGGTAAATACACAAATGTATATGTGTTACATTATTAATGTAATACCTATCTTAATACCCATACTAATGTCCTCAGATGGACTTTTTTGCAACATCCTGTCTAATTGCCCGAAGCAGCCCAACAATTGAGACCATTCATGCCAGGTGATGTCATTTTTCTTTAACCTTTTCTGTGATTTTACCAATTTTGAATCAATTCTCAATTAGTAGGATTCAATTCAATAAACACCAATTGGTAGAACTGGCTTGGGGTGGTACTGTATAACCTGGGTGATTATTCAATGTTTAGAACTTGGCTGTGGCAATAGTCTATTATCTTCCTAGAACAAACTCCCACAGAACAGAAACAGAAATTAGAAACTAAAGGGAAACTTTACTAGGTTCAATAGTCTTTAAGTTAAATATTGTCTCACTGTAATAATCTAAACACATCCTTTAAAATCTGTGAGAGTTAAAATAACTCAATTGAAGCGACTGGGAGTCGGCCATCTTCAGCCACAGAAGCAAAGCCAGCTGTTCACAGACAGGTTTTTGTACAGCTCCTCGATGTCTTTCTCACACTCTGCTGCTCTCAGAGCTGTGTCTCCCACAGTAAGGCTTGAAATGGTGAGGGTTGTAGGTGTTCTGTTTGCAGTGGAACTAAAATGAGCTTTAGCAAATTCTGCAGTGTCTGCCAAAGCACTATAAGACAAGGCTCCTTTTCTCAGTATGTATTGAGGTGGCTGGTCTGAATACTGATGGTACCAGAAGACATAAACATATTCACTGCTGCTGTCATAGGAGCAGCTCAGAGTCACAGAAGCAGGACTGATTGCAACATGTTGTACTTACTGGAAGTCTACTGTGTGACAACGACTTGGAGAAGCTTCTGCAAAGAGCTCTATTTTATGCTGAACTACCTCTGCTTTAACTCAGGAAATTAAATTTGTATTTTGTGCATCTTGAGCACTACAAGATGATAAAGCAGGAAGCAGTTCATCAATGGGCTTCTCTAATGAGGCCGCTTGGAGGACATTAACGTGAGTCACACTCCATAGCACCTAACAGGAGAACAGGGCCAGTGATGACAGCAGACAACTGATGTCTGGATCACAGGAAAAATCTCTCAGACATGACAATAGGCTGATCAGTGCTGATTCTCTCCTACTGTAGATCAAGACATGGGTTTTCCTTGGCTGCTGTTTGAATACAGCATAATGTGCTTGAAGCAATGCTGTACTAATTCCATTAACACCTGCTCTTATTTTCTATTGTACAATACATTCGTTCTCTCTGGTTGATGGTGGGAGGGGGGTGGGGGTTTAAATTAATCTCCCACTACCACACTATCAGGATTCTGTTATAGTGGTTAAACTTCTGGAAGGAAGTGGCACCACAAGAAGCTTGATTGGGGTTTGATTAAACACCTCTTTTACCCTGGAGGTTTTTGTAAAGGTGAGACGCTTGTCTGTATCACTGTGCTGGGATCAATGGCGCAGTAGTAGACAGCAGAATCAACAACAGTTGGCTTTATTGTCAGTGATCCAGTCTTTCCTGATGTGTCTAGAAAATACTTGAATTTATTGGAACCACCTCCATATGTGCCAGAGCTTCTGAGGCGATCTATGTACTGTAAAGTCTGCAGATGGGATTGCTTGTACCAGAGCATAGCATAAAAGCTGCTAGTTTTATAATCACATCGGATAAGGAGTGATTCTCCTTCTGTAATCACTCTGGCATTAGGGGTCTGGATCACTTAATCTGCACTGCATACGCCTAGAAGAGAAATAATCAAACAAGAAATAAAGACGTTGTAGGGGTAGGGTAAAATATTATATAATCTAGTAAAACACTTACTTGGTATAATGAACCAGACAGCTAAGCAGAGTAACATTTCATAACCAAAGAGAAAATCCATGAGTTCTTTTCTCTTGCTCTCTCAATTTCAATAGTTCATCACAAGCTTTGCCTTGTCTCTTAAATCCCTAGTCAGGGTGTGTCAAGTGTGATATGTTAGGCAGAGAGACAGAGAGAGAGAGAGGCAGTGTCTTTCATCTGAGTAAACTTTTTCAACTGTTCACCAGTCACGTCACTATACCATTTCCTGAATTTAAGTTAGACTTCAAATAATTATGTAAATTTGTCCTCTGTTTGCATCACAAAAAATACCTTTCAAAATTGTCTTACCTCAACAATAATCTAACCACTTCCCTTCAGACGTGTAACTGAAAAAATACAGCAATACTTCAAAAACAGAGGCTGGAATCTTGCCATGTGAAGTCATTTGAACAAAGACGGTTTTTCACAGACAGATTTTTGCACGGCTCCTCAGTATCTTTCTCACAGTGTGCTGCTCTCAGAGCACAGAGATACACAGCTGTGTCTCCCACTGTAAGATCTGAAATGGTGAGGGTTGTAAATGTTCTGTCTGCAGTGGAACTAAAACGATCTTTCGCAAAGTCTGCAGTGTGAGTATTGCTGTATGAACGGGCTCCTTTTCTCAGTATGTATTGAGGTGCCTGGTCTGAATACTGACGGTACCAGTAGAGATAAACATATTCATCACTGGTGTCATAAGAGCATCTCAGAGTCACTGATTCCCCTTCTTTCCTGGACACCTTTGTCTGTAAAGAAGAGATTAAGTCTTCAGCTGTCATGCCTGAGGAAGGAGACAAAATAGAAATATGTTGAAACTTCAGGATCAATTTCAAGCAACAACTTGAATACTAATAATGTGATCACGGCAAAATATTTAAATACTGTACCTGCTGGAATAATGAACATCAAGATGAAAAGTATTTTCTCCATGCAGAAGTGAAAGTTACTTTGAGGACAGAACAGAATTTATGTTCTTTAAGTCTTTGCTTCTTTTCTTGAGGGCAGACTGAATTATATCTACATGTGCAGAGTGTCAGTTTGACGTGTTAAACGTCACATCTATGAAAGCCACTCAGGATCCTTCAGTGTTGAAGAGTGTTTCCCGTTCCTCACCTCAAAAGAAGTTGACTGGTTTCATTTAACTCTACACTGGAATAAACAAACACTGAGGCCTGATTTTCCTTTTACTGATTGATTTTAACACTGTTATTCTTAATGAGTTCCATAAGATAGTTGCAGTCTATGTTATAGTGGTGGGGTTTTTCTTAGAAATACTGTATATAAGCTGTATTGTATACTGAAAAATTACACTACCATTGGGTACAATTACATTTTCACTTTGATATTGTTACAGTTCTTGGAAGTGGCCACTGAGATGTCTTAAGAATCTAGACAATGGTCAAAGCCTGGCCAGTATCAACTTCTGCACTTCTCAGGAGCAAAGCATTGATCAAAGCAATCTGGTGGTTTACGTTAATTAAGTTCTTGGTAAGTCAAGAAGGAAGGAAAGACATGGGATGGACTGAAGGACAAAAACAGAAGAGAGAAGGAGAGCCAGGCAAGAGGATCTGGTCTGGATCAACCATAAAGTCCGAATTTGGTTATTAACCTTGTTAAGAGATGTTGCCAATCTGATATTTTTAGAAAACTTGGGTTTCCTGTATAGAGAATCCCTAGGTTAAAAACAGCCTCTCCTGGTTAGTGGATGCATTTTTAGGATCCACTAACCAGGAGAGGTTTCAAAAAAAGACCGAACTTCAACATAGTCTGTCTCACCACAACAATTATCTAACCACATCCTTTAAAATGTGTAATCAAACAAATGATAACTTAACAGAAGTAACCATGTTAAGGGAACAAAGCCAGTTTTGCACAGATGGTTTTTGTTCAGCCTCTCAATGTCTGTCTCAGACTGTGCTGGTCTCAGAGCACAGAGATACACAGCTGTGTCTCCCACAGCAAGATCTGAAATGGTGAGGGTTGTAAATGTTCTCTCTGAAGTGGAACTAAAACGCCCTTTAGCGAAGCCTGCAGTGTTAGAATAACGACTATTAGAACGGGCTCCTTTTTGCAGTATGTATTGAGGTGGCTGGTCTGAATACTGACGGTACCAGTAGAGATAAACATCTTCACTGCTGGTTTCATAAGAGCAGCTCAGAGTCACTGATTCTCCTTCTTTCCCAGAGACACGTGTCTGTAGAGGAGTGATAGAGTCTTCAGCTGTCATAGCTGAAAGGTAAGAGAAAAATGAAAAGAACTGTGAAAGTTCAGGAACAATTTCAAGAAATAGACTTGAATACTAATAATCACGCAATATCAAAAGCTGTAAATACCTGTTGGGACAATGAACATCAAGATGAAAAGTAATTTCTCCATGCGGATCTGAAAAGTCTGAAAATGTATTTTCCTTAGCTCTCTCTCTCTCCTTTTGTTAAAGCAGATTGAATTAAATCTACATGTACAGAGTGTCTGTATGACCTGTTAAACGTCACATCTATGAAAACCACTCAGGAGCCGGCAGTGCTGAAGAGTGTTTCCTGTTCCACTGCTCTTCGGAAGCTGACATACTGTATAACTGTGCAATGAAATAAAAAAAACTTTGAAATACAGTACCTTTGCAGATTGACTCTATCCTGTGGTGTTGAACTGTTGTTTATCAATCTAAAACCACAGACCTTCTCAATGATATCTCTGTCCCATTGGAATTTATTTTTCTTAAAACTTTGTTAAAAACAACAGAGAGGAAATCTTCTCATTTTGGAGCTCCTGTGAGCTTCTGTGAACTAAAATTGCCTTTAAAGTTAATTTAATATAGTATATAATTATAATATACTGTATAGTATATACTGTAATAGCAACAATAATAGATTTTAAACAGTAAACTCCCAATGTTCATCTATTCATTTTCTTATCACTTTATAATACAGGGCCACAGGGTATTTTGTACCTAAAATTAAATTTTCAGTTTGACTTTAAAGAATAAATTATATTTACATATTAATTTTCTAATGCCATGTTCTCGATTTTAATTTGTGTTGAAGTTTTCAAATCTGTTGTATTTCTATATACCTTTCAGGAATAACATTAGTTTCTCTGCTCTTATTTAATCACACTATGAACTTAGCTATTAAATACAGCTTTGGATCCTTCAGTCTAAAACTTTTGAAGGGTCTTGGGGGCCCTCTAGTGGTGAACGGAGGAATATTTTCTTCCACTGTGTCACACCCACAAGACAGCACCATTACAGAGTGGCAAGAAGTCATAAAGAAGCCATTTGCTTACCGAGGCTTTTAAGATAGAAAAGATAAGATCACTTTATTGGCCATATACAATTTCTTGCATTAGGAATTTGTATTTTCGCATGCCCCAACTTGCTCTCCATGAGACACACAGACAGGGAGAGAAGCTTGGGGTCAGAGCGCAGGGTCAGCCATTTATATAGCACCCCTGGTGCAGCTGGGGTTAAGGGCCTTGCTCAGGGGCCCAACGGAATAAGATTCCTCTGCCAGCCACGGGATACGGCCCGGCAACCTTCCAGCCACAGGCACAGATCCTGAGCCACAGAGCCACCATACTGCCCAAAGGAGAATTCATGCTGTGACCAATATGGTATGAACTGATCAGAGCAAGAAAAGGTGTTCAAATGCTGTGTACACTTAAAAAAAGCACTGACCAATGTAAGCAATGAACAAGGAGACCAATGTCTTTTGAGGACAATATGGCCAACAACAGTGAGATCGATTTTGGCACTTTAGGGTGTCATTGTACATGATACATGATACAAGCTATAATCCACAAGGTGTGTGCTACTGGTGTGGATAAAAAGATAAAAATCTTTTCAACCTGCAAACTGTATTTCGACTCACATGAAGTTGTGAGCTTTCTAGGGAGAGACTAGGAGAGAGACTCTTGGAGATGGGCTGGAGAGACAGGTTTTTGTTCTGTGTGAGCTACAGTCTCACACACTGTGGGACTCAGAGCACAGAAGTATGTGGCAGAGTCAGACAGCGCAGCTGCAGATATTTTCAGGTCGTAGGTCTTCTCTGTGCCTTTTGTGCCGGGTTCTGCAGAAAAACGTTTAAATCTTGGATCTGGAACAGAGTATGTACCGAGCATATGTTGTGGAGCTTGGCCGTTTTTCTGTATGTACCAGAAGAGGCGCGGAGAACCTGTTGTCTCATACTGACATTGAATGGTGGTGTTTTCATTTTCTTTAACTAGAACTGGATTCTGAGGCTGAGTCACTTTGTCAGCTTGAACCATACCTAGAGAACAAACAGAAGAAGGAAAATGCACTTAGCTTCATTTACAAAACTGTTTAGATTAAAACAAGTTTATATGCACTATAACATGTGCAGATTGGTATTTGCCTGAGGTATAATGTGATATTACACAGGTTAAGTAATTCTTGTGATAGGAATTAACATTACGAAAATACTAAACCTAAAATAACTCACACACAGTAAGTCCTGTTAAGTTATCTTCTATATTTATGTACACATATTTATGTTTAAAGAAATAACTGAAGAAATCTGACTTACTTATTAGCACACAATTTAAAGCGATGAACAAGGCACTCATTTCTCCTCTTCTGTGATTCTGAACGCAGTTAGAGTATTTAACACTCTAGTCAGTTTTGCGAGTAGCTCCAAGACAAATGTCTTTCTTACCCCACCTCCCTCACACCCCACGCTGCCCCACCCCTTTCAGAAAGGGGGTGTTTCATCATTTCTACATAGAAAGGTGATTAGAAAAAAAGAGATCAAAATTTTGGTGAGACACTACCATCTAGAGTTCATGATGTTCGGAAAGTACACGTTACATAGCGTAGTTCTGGACCCTATGCAGACGGTATAATCTGGAAGTAAGTGGAAAAGGACGACGGGGAGGAGACGACGAGGATCAGTAGGGGTTGACAGATGGGGGGGGGGCTGACGATGGTGAACTGGTGCTCGGGGGGCGTAGCCAGGGTGAACAAGTCCAAGGAGTCGAGGGGGGAAATCCCGGGCGAAGTCCAAAAGTCCAAATGGGGTGATCCAGCCGAGACCTGACAAAACAGAGATATAAACCGGAATGGGATCCGATACAGGGATGGGGAATTAAAAACGGGGATGACGAGGCCAGGCGCTCCAAGCTGGGACTTAGCTGGGTCGGGACGTCGATAGGAGGCCTGTGCCCTCAAGCCGCGGGCGTAGGGTGACTTGATGGTAGGCAGGCCTCCGGCGACTGTGTTCCAATGCAGAGCCAGGAATAGCGAGAGTGTCCGGCTTAAATAAGGAGGGGCAGGATTGGAGGCAGGTGCACATAAACAACTAAAATGTGAAAGAGCCGGAGCGCCCTTAAGAGGAGGGACTACGATCGTGACAGTACACTGCATAATGCTCTCCCACTCTTTGTGGGAATAGTATGTTTCATTTGCTAGATGGTTAAGAGTATCATATGATAAGTAATCCAATAAAATGCAAGCTACTGCTACTGGGATTTACTGTATGGTATGGTACAGCGCTACCGCCAAATCTGTAATGTAATTCTGATCCTGACCCGCTGTTTGAAATTATACAGTTATTGTAGGTTATTGAATTTGTGAAGCCTTTTTCAGGAACTGAATAATCTAGGATCTTCATTTATAGATGATGACATATGCTGAAATCATGAAGTGGAACCTGTAGTTTCTGGCAGGTGTGCTGCTGGTCCCAAGGTGTTTTCTTTGCAGGATTCAATGAAAGGTTTAGTTTACATTAATCATGTCTCAAACAGATGTGCACTGCATTCGTATAAAACGGTCACGCATTTACCGGAAATCTAACCACACAATCCAGTATGGGGGCTGACACTTGATAAAGACAAGAATCTCCTTTTGATCTCTCAACCCTCACTGGAACTCAGCCCAGTGTAGGAATGTGAGTTTTTGTACAGCTTCTCCATGACTCTTCTGCACTGTGCTGCTCCCAGAGCGCAGAAG